TGTGTCATATCACCTCCTCGTACCGCCAATTTTCTCCAATTTCCTCCACACTCGTCACCCGCGTCCCCCTAGCCCGAGCCTTTCATTCCCTTCATCCCCAATGACCCCACACTCCCTCCGGGAAATCGCCGCTCATCCTCCGGATTATCTCTCTCTCACCGCATCGCCCCCCCCAAACGCCGGCGTCCCAGCGGCGTCGGCGAAATTTTCACTCTCGTCACCCGCTCTCCGTCTTTGGCGGTCGCACACTTCGGCTCTTTTGCGTAATCGTTATCATATCATGCGCGGACAGGGACGCTGTCAACGTGTCTTATTCCCACAGGCTTTCCCTAGTATGGGAGCCAACAAACGCTTCGATATCTTCATTTTGATAAGACATGCTGTATATAACCCTCCCATATGCTCTCTTCATTTGCTCATTAGCTTGAACTGTTCTACACCGCAACATTACCATTTTATTAACCTTCAACACGAAACGCGGTTACTCCACCCCACACTAACCATGACAGATTTTCTCACATTACTTCAATCCATTCTCTCACCAATTTTTTTTTTGTTATTTACGCAGACACCTGAAACAAAACCAGCCCTGCTGCCGAACAGGAAACGTGGCTCACACAACACCCGCCAGCAGATGCCGTGTGACCACCCTGACTGAATCTTATCAGATACCCCATTCGATAGCATACGCATATCTTTATCATGTATTTTATCATGCGCGAGTCCAGCTATGTTGCAAGTGAGAATTACACCAGTTATGCCTGAACTCATGCCTCTGCCGTTGTCTTCTTGGCCCTCTTCTTTGCTACTGTGTTTTCTCTGCAATCGTCCATCATCAATTTTCGTCTTTGAAAAAGGGACATCACCCACCGGAAACCATTCTTGAACCGCCTGTGCACGAGCTTGAGGTACCGCATCCTACCCGTACCTGTCGTCTTTCTACGCTTCGCCTTTTCACTCCATTCATACGATCTCAACTTGGCACTGGGGTATCCGCACTGCGCGCATGCTATATATGCGACATTAGACTCTTGCTCTCACGAATAAAATAAAACAAAAACGAACGTACTTTTGTGCTGCCTGTGGAAGGCCCTGTTTCCGCAACGCCTGCATAGCGTATGCGATTTCGTGTGTCGCTTACTGTACAGTCGTTAGATTCCTGTTGTGCAACCTGGATTCATGCGCAAACATACCCGAATGACGAGGTACCTATACTCGTGCATTAGTTCCACACGCGAACAATTGAAGCAAAAAATCGCACCTTTTGTCTAATCGCAAGAGGAACGATGAAAGAGAGATCGTCAGTAACCCATTCATATCAAAAGACACCAGAACGAGAAAAACCAATCCAACCTCATCCACCCAAACAGACCGACATCCACCGTTTCAAACGGCTTTTCCGCCCCTGCACTTATTGCAGCCCTCTCAAACCGACATACACTCCCCTCCAAAGCCAACAAAATGGATAAAATCAGTACTCACCATCTCGTCTGACCGTCTTGTTCACTTGCGTAGGGGTGTTTCTGTGATGCCGCGCGTGCTAGAGGGTGGGAATATGTCCGAGCGTGAGAATCCGCCAAGCCAATCGGGCAACCTGGCTATCCGGTGGCACGAGGTAGGTTCGTGTCCCACTAGCCATTGATAAGACAGATTCTAAATCCATATCGCGCGCTCGACGCCACCATGCTACTTGTCTCGAACAGCGCCGACAAATGATCAACTCGATGAAGCCAACTTGAAACCACTCCCGCGTCATCGGCCATATGCATTGAACGGCCAACTCGAATCCTAACCAACTTGAGTGCCGTCAACTAGAGCTATAAACAGGTATTGGTAACGATCGCTATCTTTCCGTTTATCTCTATCTTTATCTTTGTCTAGATTCCAAGTACAGCCTTTACGGCGTATAGCATTATCATCAGGGCATCATGTCATGTCATTGCAAACGGACGACCTGACCGTCAGCCTTTCATGGTTAATAATTACCTGAAAGTCCGTGACAACGTGGTACACGCATCCCATCCTGCCCTGGCCTCGTCCGAGTCAACTCGCAACGTACCTATTGTCTCCTGACAGTGCATGTTCCGTTCATTCCGGGCACTCGACGATTCATATTTAGTTCTTTACGCTCTGGTATATTGGTCAGTTGCTACAATTTAATTTACTTGCTATTAATTTTTTAATTTTTTGCTTGAGGTCTTGCGTCCTGACGACTTGGGTTCTCCTGGAAACACAAGAAACGAAATTACTATGCCCTTAACTAATTTCCCCTTTTGATGAACAACAGAATATGGGGTCACGATATCGCCGCGACTGCGACGGAGGTCGACGATCCCCCCCCCATCCGCTGGTGGCTAATCGATCCGCAATCAGGATCGGAAATTCAAGCTTCACGGTGTTCATATCTACTTCACGTGCGCTTCTGGGTGGTAGCCCATCGAGGCATGCATCGATCCGCGCCAAGTTGAAACTCTAAATCCCCCTCAGGTTCACGATAATGAACCTGGATATATCGTTATATGGATTTCTATCAATATCATATCATATCATATCGCGCCGTATCGTGTGTGTGTGCCTCCTTGTTCCCTGTCTGTCTCCTTATTTCCTTCATCTCATGCCTCAAAATCTCACACACACACCCACACCCACACACCCCAATTAATGTCAGTGGAATCCTAGCACTTCATATCCTTCCAATTGGATCCTACAACACGCTGTTATCAAATTGATCATGGAATCCGATTGAAAGTTGAAAGCATGCCGAAAACGCATTCCGCATGAACCCATCGAAACGTTCGGACTGGCCCACTTGGCTCATAAATCCTTCAAACACCGCGGCTTTGTAACCTTGGCAGTTGGCACGACATGCGCACGCGCGGAGAAAATTCTTCCGTGTTTCATCTCCCGCTTTCTTCCTTCTTCCTGTCTCTCTTCCCTCGGGCTGTGGATACTGCGTCGTGTCGTGTCGCGGATATTGGAACCAACAGTCTCGAGTGCTATGCCGATCCTGAGGATCCCAGTCAAGGATCAAGCGATCAGTACATCTTCTCCGGCAGTGCGACTTTTGTCTGCGCGTCGTCATCGTCTACATCCGCCACTGCACTGCCCCGCAACGGAACGGAAACCAGTGCCAAGTTGACGATCGCACAGGCGTACCTTCCTTGATCCACGATTCATGATCCACGTACACGTGTATATTCGTCTTCTCGGCGCCTACTGCTCCAACACAAGCGATGGCCAAAATTGTGCCTGGACCTCGAAAAAAAAACAGCCGCCTTTTCCTCTAGCTCGAGTTGCTATACGCAAAGAAGCGCGAAAGGTATAACGCTACGACATAACACTCTTTGGGACAAGAAAAGCGACTTGACTTCCAAAACGGAATTGAAAAAACGGCCGAAGCTCCTCGAACCCTGCACTGCGATCGACGATCACGGGGTAATACATACAAGGCTACGCGGTGCTTCTTCCTTTCTCTAGCCCTGAAAACGTCACGGCAAGCGATGGTACTACTACGTATCCGATGGTATATTAAGAAGCTGTGACTTAATCCCTTGATAACGATCCCAAGTCTGTGTTGCGTATCTCAAGCCGTGCTACACTGACTTCACTGGTACCGACGATCGATCCGTCGTCAACTTGTTGTGTTCGTGTGGTTACCTACCTCTTTCTCGGGTTAGCAACAGTTTCGATCAAGGCCAGTGTGAGATCGCTTTTCTTTTGTTCGCTCGTTCTCTTCACGTCGATCGTTTATGAAACGGACTCCGGAATGTGTGAGCCAGGGTTCAAGAAGTTACATTACGCGCCTTGGACGTCATAGTAGGGCTCGGAAGACGGAATGTTCAATCATAAGTCATCATAATTGGATCGTGTACTGTGTTGGTTGTTCTATATCTAAATAAGGAACAATGACGACAATCTTTGGTCGTCGACAAAGAAATTACTTTGTATGGATCAATGTTTCTTTGGAAACTCGTTTCCGTGCCTGTCCTTGTTTTTTAAAAAGTTCTAAAGCTAATTCTAAAACAAAATTGGAATAAAATAAAATCTAAGGAATGTACGAACGCCGCCAAGTACGATGGTTGATCGCAGTAATCTACGCTAAGTACAAGCGGTCCCTCACGTTTCGGCCATGTACATACCGTGTGTGATCATCGCGCTCTTGTATTACAAGGCGCTACTTGTTATGAGTTCTTCGTGGAAGGCATGTGTGTACGGTACTAATCTATAGGTCGCGCGTGTAACAGTGTTGCCCGCCATAGCCTGTGGAAGTAATGATGAAACGACGTAGTGCGCTTGATCTCCGCTAGAGGGCCTCGAGATGGTTGGACGGTCGAGCTGTCGGTGTATGAACTTCTCGGTTAAGGGAGGCTAGAACGATCGTCGTTCGTCATTGGTGACGAGGACGGCAACACGCAGGTATCACGCTACTCTCACCTGCGTGGCGTTTTACTGTTGACATGGCAGTAGTCGGAAAGCAAGCAAGCTTGCAATTGCCCATTGTTCGCTATAAGTATGCAATTAGAGCTCTAGTGAGGCACACCCGTACGATGCCATTTTTGATCGGGTCTTTGAACATTTGTCATTCGCCATTCGTCACCATGTAGCTGCGAGCCTCTCACCTCCACTTTGACGGTTCCGAGTCGGCGCAGGTCGGCGCCCGAGAGTTTATACCTACAGTGGTAGATAACCGAAACCATAAATATCCGGTACCTTTGTTCAAGGAAGGCACCTGAAATGCAGAGGAGCCCTGACAAGGACATATCCAACTCTGGATAGCGCGCTAAGCCGGCGGCGTGAGTAGAGGCGGAGAAGCGAAGTTCTTACTTTGGAAATAACAGGCCGGCGGCGGGACAGGGGGCATTGATAACTTCGGCCTCCATGTGAAAGAAGATGTGAATTGTTCCCTATCAGATTATCAGATGAAGGTGGAGTCAAAGCTACCATCGTTTGAGGCTTGAGGACAGTACGACCGTCATTGAAAGCAAAAAATGCTTAATGTCGCCCGCCTAGCTCAATCGGATAGAGCGTCAGACTCTTAAGACATAGGCGATCTGAAGGCTGCGAGTTCGACCCTCGCGGTGGGCTAATAGCTTGTCAATTTTTTTCCACGGCCACTTTTTCAGGCAACCAGAACTTTCCCACCAGAACCTTACGCCAATTTCCGAGTAGCTCGCTTCTGCGATGGCACCCTCTTGCCAGCGAATCCTTCGCATCATTCTCACAGACTGTACCTCTGTTCTACTGGTCCCGGGGTGGCCACCTTATCTAGCGTTCGGAATTATCTAATATTCTCGACTACTCTCATGTGGTCTGCCTGTCATGTCTAATTCATCTTACCTAAACCGACGATGAGTTACAGCACAGGAAGCAGTTACGGTGAGGGCTGAGAATGTAGACACGGAAGCAAATGAAGCAACCATGAGACTTTCGCGTTTGTCGCATTTGGAATGTCAGCCGTAGGTGAGGTCTATGGATTTATTGCGCTTTAAAGTCAACTGTCCTTAAAGCCCGATGTCAGTCCCATACCTCTTATACTTAGCTACATCAGTGATCGATTCATTTTGACCTGTCAGGAAGCTTCCCATCTGGCCTCAAGGAAACTGATATTTCTGGCCATCACGAGGCCACAGAACGATTACCAAATATATTTACTGCATTGTGTTTCCCTGTGTGACGCCGAATTTGGTTGGGCACTTCTACCTTCTCTTCTGCCGTACTATTCCTTATACAGGCATCCACTCGTCACTTTCTCGCCATATACAGGAGGCTCCTTTTACCCCCTCTGGAATTGATTAGCCGGACGACTAATGGGGAAGGATGCCCCCCCGGAAATAAGACAATGGCATACTCACGAATGGCACATGACGGCAACGCTAGACGCTACTGTGGTATCCATAAATCAGTACAAGTACGCCTATCCAATGCCTAACGTTTCCTCCAAGGGACCCCCTCCCTCTCCATACCCCTAGGTGAGGTTGAGTTTATTATGTTGTTATCAAAGTTTTCTGAACGTCCACAGGATTCGGATCTGCCAAGCTCCTCCTGTCATTCACTAACGTACCCGCCTAAACGACGATCTGGTCGGCCTCAAATAAACCATACACTTTTAAACTTCCAAAACTTCGCCTTCGATCATCCTTTCCTGTCCGTTATGGCTGCCCTACCCGCGATCGATTTGAAAGATTTGTGAGTATATCGCGCTCATGCTTCGTGCGTTATGGAGGCTAATTCGACGTAGCACAGGACCTGCTGTGAGCAGCTTATGGCAAATATATCACCTCACGCACTCATCAATTATAGTTCATTGGTTCGATTCTGAACTGGGCATTACTAGGAACACTATGCCTTCAAATTTGTACGCCGCTCGTTTCTTTCAACTAGGACATGACGAATTGACCTCACCTGGTTAGACTCCTTTAGCATATCGTTTCCTAGGGAACGCTTCGGCATCAAGTGTTTCGGTCAGTCAATGTCTGAACTAACGATGTTCTTTTACTAACATAATAACCAGTTTATTCGTTGTTGGTCCTTGAACTCATCCAGACTGTACTATCGACGCACTGGGCGTGGTCTGTACTAGTAGCTGGATGGGGCCTTGTATCAGCCGTGGAAACCCTTAACTGGTCTTCAATTACGATACCCATCTCAGCAGGAATTGGTAAGTTCTAAGCCTAACATGCGTGTATCATTGATGCCGACGACGCATATGTCAGTATCAATAATAGTGCAGAGTTTCTTCGCATGGTCAGTCAACTTTTTTTCTCATGCTCGCTTTTGCTGACGTTTAGCTAGGAGAGTATTTATGCTCAGACGGCGCAGCTGGGTATTTACCTTCGCTGCAGTCCTAATCGTTATGGTGTGGCTCAACCTATTTCTTCAGTCACCAATGCATCTAACACCCACGTCCAGGTGGCACTAATGCAGGGCCTCAGCGCCATCGTTAACGGCATTCGAGTAAGTTTTACCTGTCAAACGGCCAGCGATCGCGGCTAATGCGAAATTAGTTCTATTTCTATGCGAGTGTGCTCGACGTCAAGGGTTTCAGCACGGGCGTTGTAGTAAGTGCGGCCATCAGCAACTGTCTTCGCCGTCTGATCCGTCCCAAAGATATGGCTGGCTGGGTCCCTAGCATGTGACTTCCTTATTGCCGCTAGTATGGTTACAATCGTAAGTGTTCTCAGCCCAGGATTCGATGGAAACCTGATTAAATCTATCATCAGCTTCTACAAGCCAAATCCAATTCTCCTTTTAAGAAAACCGAGACACTCATTACTAAACTCATCGTGCATACGGTTGAAACTGGTGTTGTCACCGTCATCACGGCCGTTATCGATCTTGCTTTGTATCTGAAATACCCCGACTACTTCCTACATATAGTCCCGTGAGTTTGGATGTTCCTTTGATGGTACTTGTCTAACGACAAGTGCGCTTTAGGGCTGTTATTCTGGGCAAATTGTAAGTTATTCGTGCATTTTCCTTTGCATTAAGAGTTGACAATTCCATCGACAGGTATTCCAATATCGCATTGGCTAATCTTAATGGACGAACACGGCATCGCGTCTGGGGCGATCAATCCGCTCTTACTACGTCGTTTGTTGGCGCAGAATCACATCATCTTTCACACAGGGTCGATACAGATCCTCGTACGAAGACAATTGTTCAGATATCAACCAGTGTAACAGAAGAACGAGACGAAGTGGTAAGTTTCAAATGTCGTTTTGAGGTTTTCCGCGCACTGATGAGACTTCTTCCAGCTAAAGGGAAGACGAGAATCATCGAATGTTTGAATTTAATACGTGTATCTGATTACTACGTTATATACTTTTAAATACACACCGTATTTCTAGCATTACATATTTGCTTAGAACCATGGAAGCATGACTTGGATGGATTAAGCATTCTATTTCTTGGGCAACTGGGCAACTGAAATTTCGATTCACTTTTCTCGCGTGGGAGGTTTTTGGGCAGCTTCTGGCGGATAACCCGTGACCTCCCAGCCGTTCCAAACAGACACACACTTCCCGCCAAAAGTTGGCACGCCCGTTCGTTCCTCTCGCGGTGACAATCACGCCACGCCGCGTATCGCTAGCAACTATATCGCAGGGTCTACCTAGTCCTTATGCACCATCAACCCTGTAGTACTCGAGCACCACCAATATGCTTTTTTTCCACTGCCAAATTCCTATTGCTTCTCGTCCAGCCTCCGATGCCCGCCTGTGTGATTGAGCGCTAACACGTAACCGTCAACTGCGTCGACTGGCCGCGTGCAATTACACCGATGCTGCCTCAACCGCCCGCCCGCGATAGCCAACCAGCGCTGCCTGCACAAGTACGTGGTAATTGAGCGCCGGCATACAATGCTTACCTCTCATTTCCATATCCTCCCAGCCGGGTTTCTTGCGCCATCTTAGCCCCACCCATTGCGATTTTCTCACACCATCTCACTCTCGACTGGTCATAATTCTCTTGCACGCCTGGCTGTAGTTTTTTAGCACCACTGGGCCCTCGCCCACCAGTGGTCTTTTTGCACCATCGGACCCTTACCCGGCAGTGGTTTTTTCGCACTGTTGGACCCCCGCCCAGCAGTGGTTTCTTCGCACCACCAGACCCTCGCGCAACAGTAGTTTTTTCGCACCAGCACACCCCCTCCCAATCTTGGTGTTATTGTACCACCGGATCCTCGCCCAGCAATGGTTTTTTCGTACCACTGAACCCAGCAGTGGTTTTATCACACCACTGGATCCTCGCCAAGGGGTGGTTTTTCGGTACCACCAGACCCCCACCCAACAGTGGTTTTTCGGCACCACCAGACCCCCACCCAACAGTGGTTTTTTGGCACCACCAGACCCTCTCCCAGCGTGGTTTTTCGACACCACCAGACCCTCGTCCAACAGTGGTTTTTCGGCACCACCAGACCCTCGCCCAACAGTGGTTTTTCGGCACCACCAGACCCTCGCCCAATAGTGGTTTTTCGGCACCACCAGACCCTCACCAAGTGATGGTTTTATCACACCACCGGACCCTCTCCCAGTAGTGGTTTTTCGGCACCACCAGACCCTCTCCAAGCGTGGTTTTTCGACACCACCAGACTCTCGCCCAGCAGTGGTTTTTCGACACCACCAGACTCTCGCCCAGCAGTGGTTTTTCAACACCACCAGACCCTCACCAAGTGATGGTTTTATCACACCACCGGACCCTCTCCCAGTAGTGGTTTTTCGGCACCACCAGACCCTCTCCAAGCGTGGTTTTTCGACACCACCAGACTCTCGCCCAGCAGTGGTTTTTCGACACCACCAGACTCTCGCCCAGCAGTGGTTTTTCAACACCACCAGACCCTCGCCCAATAGTGGTTTTTCGGCACCACCAGACCCTCACCAAGTGATGGTTTTATCGCACCACTACTCATCAAGCACGCTCACCCACACTCACCTGTCGTCTCATTTTTACATGCTAGGCGATGCTATTCCGCTCAACTTAGGTACTATCATTTTTTCCTTCAGTCATCAAGCATGATTTGATATCTCCATAAACATGCGTGATGCAATTTCCTATATGGGGCTCACCGTACTTATCAACCACGATCAGGTGTTACCTGTGTTACATTACATACAGCCGCTAAGCGTATCACAGATATTGATGGTTGCCCACCATCAGGCTCCACCACCCCACAGCCTCCCGCAGCCTGCCACAGGTATAAAAGAAACGGATAAGTTTTTTTCGCGGTGAATAATCTTTCCTCTCCTTTTACTGCCTCATCATTCCCTCCTCTCTTGCAGGCCTGGTCAGCACCTTGCAAATCGAAGCAGGAACAATGTGTTGTTGTGATACCGGGGGTGAGTGCACATTTCTAGCAACAGATGCACTGCCAGTTAATAAAGAATTAGATCTGACATACGGCGATACATTATATTACTTACATAATAGTGTATGTACTTAAAATGCAAATTATAAATTAATTGAGGCTACAACTCGCCTCCTGCTTGCTCGGGCTTGAGACTCACTGCGGGGTTAACCTTGGTTGAAACTGCATTAACTCTAGTGGATCGGAGTGGTTCCCTTGTGCCTCCTTGTTGTGACGAACAACT